AATGGACACTGATGCAGATTCTACGTAGTCCTTGTTGGCACAGAAACGGAGCAACTAAGAGGTAACCCAGTTGGATTGCGATTACCTGAGGTGAGTTGATTCAAGAACCGACATCACAGCACTCGGGGCATTCCCATAAACGCTTCGTCCCCATATTCGAAAGCCAGTGAAGAGTTCTGATACTAATGGTGCCAGTAGCATTCTGATTAAACGTCCGTCTGGGACATCCCTTATCTCGTCACTCCCCCTGCATCAAGAAAGAATCCAGACTACTATCCCCGTGCCTTGTGAGGAAAGCCCCACTTCTTGCCCAATAAGCATGTGGTAAAAATCGATTAAATGGGGCTTCCTTCGAAGTACATGGGCCTGAGAGACATGGAGCCAGTAGTCTACGTATAAATTAGTTATATCTGAAAAACGGATGTGCTCACAACACTCAGGTTCTGGAATAAGACTAATGTCTAAAAGTGGACCTACATCTATAACTTTCCTCTAGAGTTTATAGCTGGTAAAAGAAGATTATGAAGAAGTAGAAGAAGATTACCCGATACAAACGTTCAGTTTAAACTCCTGTTGTATCATGAAACTAACCATAAATGTATAGATTTGTAATGCATAGATAGAATCTGATTCTAAATTTGTACATTCTGTTCTTGTTATGTTAATAAATTTATATTCAAATGATCATTTTCGTTAGTGTTGCCTAGTGTCTGTTATTTTATACGTCGTGATAAGGTAGTTCTCTCTTCTATTATATGCAACCACGACCAGAGTAGGCCGTGATGCAACAAAAACACGCCTAGCTTCGCAAAATGACTGAATATATTTCTGTCTTCTTCTTAGCATTCACCAGCTGTATACTCTGGTGAAAAGTTATGATTGTTCGTCCACTTCTGGACTGCAGTCCTGTTCCAGAACCTGAGTGTTGCGTGTGTATCCGTTTGACACACCCAACACATTTGTGTGCAGACTGTTGGTTCCTTGTCCCTTAGGCAGATGCACTCCGACTTTGAAGGAAGCTTCGAATTAGTCGACTCTTACCAAATGCTTTTGGGTAGCCAGTGGTCTATTCTTGTTTTTCCTATAATAGGTTCCCGGGACACACACGGGGGATTTTTCTTTCTAATTGTGCATCATTTAATATTCATTCTTTGTTTGTAGTGTAAAAAGACCCCCCCCCCCCCCCCCCCCCCAAAAAAAAAAAAAAAAATCCATAAAATCGACTGTCAAGAGAATTGACTTTATTGTACCGGGTTTTATCTCGTTTGGCCCGGTGTCTCTCTGCAGAACAGCTTGTCATCTGGCGAGAGCGTCACACAAAGCACAGACACCGTAGCTCTGGTGACGACTCCCGGTGGTCTCCGTAAAGCATGAACCGAACCGACAACCTTAGGAGCGCGAGGTAGGCGGCATGACTACTCCACCAGAGGACTCCCCATTCCCCCGTGTTTAAAAACAAAAAAGTACCTGTAGTGTGTCGCGAATATAACGCTAGACATATTTTTAAGACACTTGATAGATGATGTATCCAGCATCACACCGGTCGATCTTGCTTCTCATGACATTGCAATTTCTGGCCAGGTTTTTCTGATATTTGCTGGTTCATGTATTGTCCATGATTCGCAGCCATAGGTTAAAATTGGCTATATACATTCGCTTTTCGTTGCTACTATTGTTACACAAAAGAGCAACCAAGAGGTTTTGAAAGAAGCGGGAGCCTGAAGACAACTTATCACAGACATCAGAAGGAGACAGCCATAATTTTTCGGCCATATTATGAGAAGAGGGAAAATAGAACATGTTGTGACCACTGGAAAGATCTGTGGAAGGAGGGATAGAGGAAGACAACGAGAGAAGATGCTTGACAGTCTTATTGCATGGCATGCAGGTGTGTCGGCACACGAACTGATACATGCTGCAGGAGATCGCAGATTGTGGAGAGGCATGATCACCCACGCCAGTAGGCAAGGCACCTGATGATGATCATTACACACAATGTCATGACTTTATAACATAAGACGTTCATTTAATAAAAATGCAGTTTTGGCCTGTCCTATTTCATGCTTTATCTCCCAGCTGATGGTATCCATGTGCCTGGGAACTTAAAATTCATCACTCAAGTAACACCATATAATGTTATACATTTAGGCAAAATTCTTTTCTTTGATATTCCCATTACTTCCACGCTCTCCTTATTACAGCTGAGGATTATTCTGTTACTTTTAACCACTGCTTTATTCATCAACCAAGTAATCTAAGCTTACAATGGGATCACAAGGGTTTTGGTTAGTAAATGTGGCTAAAATGATAATGATGAGATTATGTATCTGCTGCAAATATGTTAGCATCATATACCAACTACACCTCAAAAGTGTGGGGAATAGTCATTCTGGGGCCTGCATATGGCTTAGGCTTGCTTACCTATGATCAATGCTGTCTTTCACAGAGGTGGTTATTTTCCTCTTCAGTAAGTAATGTATTGTGTGTTACAACAACTGGCTGGGAGCAATCTCTCGTTTTTTCTTCAGACTTTATGTAGAGATTTTGTTTAAAAAGGGCTAGTTTCAAAGATGAATTAGTCTAGTGAATGGGTTTAACTTTGGTTCTTACCTGATTACTTTCACTATGACCAGATATCTGCTTCACTGCCCTAGTGTCCTCCCATTGATCACGCGAAAAGAATCTCAGCACACTGGTTGGTTGGTTAGTTGCGTATCCTTTACAGGATGTTGCAGAACCAACACCAACAGCCCCTGGCTGTTGATCTCAGCACACTACACCAACTAACATTATTCCCTTTGTGTGTGTGTGTTTTCATGTATGTGGGTGACATTTCTCAATTGGGGTGGTGGGGAGGGGGTGGGTGGTTTATTCGACCAGCTTTTTTATATCTAAGAGCTGAAGGATTTTTAACAAATGCAGAATGCACATAAGAATCCTAAACAACAATGCTATATATATATATATAAATCTCAGCCTTGGATATTAACTAAAAAATTTTGACATAAAACTATCCCACCTGTGAAATGAGAATGTTTGAGAAAAGCTGCAAACAAAACCACAATAGTCTGTGTGAGATAAGAATCAGAAATGTTAAAAATAATCATTGTTAATTTTCTGCAGTGAAGAAGCTCGATGAACAGCAGACTTCTGTAATGACTTAGTCTGCTGTCTGCAGAGCTGAGCATGACCCAGCTTGCTGAATCATGCCCAAGTACTAATCTTCTTCGTGTTCACAGGCTGTAAACACTTCTGGACTTTTGTCTGGTTCCAGAATGTGAGTTTTGTGTGCACATCAGTTAGACAGATCTGGTTTATTCATATGCAGACTGTCCACTCTCAAGTTCTCAGGCCGATGATCTCTGACTTCAAAGGAAACATCCCTAATTAGTTAATTCGGGAATCCAGAGAGTGAGCTCATGCTTTGTATTACATCTATCACAAAATGTCTTTTCCATCACAAGCCGCCTGAAAGAAACTGGGCCCCTCACCAGCTATTCTGCCCAAGGTGTTTCTTATGTTCTCTGTCCACCTTTGTGCTGCTCAGGCCCTGCCTCTCTAACATGGTACCATGCCCTTTATTACTGTTCTGCCAAAGCAACTGTGACATCTGATATGGCCCTAGCAGTTCAGTTTCTGAGACAAGATGTCATTTATAAGCCAATTTTCCACGATGTTCGGATATTAAAAGAATTTAATATTCATTTCCTTCTTTGTCCTTGGTATTGCAAAGAATCTTTCTGTAGAATTTTAGCTCAAAAGTCTATTGGTACTAGTAAAGACATTGCAGCCTATTTTGACTTTCAAGTTTGCTATGAAGTTAATGCACTCCCTTAGGTCTGCTAGAGTCAGGTGCTGTAAACGTGAATACTTAAAAAAAAATCCACTTAACACCCCCCCCACAAGGTTTATGTAGACGTAATAATCTTGTCAGGCTGGATTTACTCCGGAACTCACATCAGCCTTCACAAGTGCTCAAAGATGAGGAAGAAAACAACCACACCCAGGCCCAATAGTACAAGCCTTGAGATTGGCTGGTAGGTTTTCGTACCAGCCAATCAGACTGCCTCTAGTATATCTTGCAAATGTAGGCTGTTCAATGCCAGCTTTCATGAAAGTTTGTGTTCTGTAATTTTACATCAATTTTGGTTTGGGTGTTACCTGTGCCCAAAAATGGTAAAAACGACTGTTGCATCATAGCTACCGAAACATACCAGGATAATATTAGAACATGTCCCAAAATATTGCTATATTTGAACTGTGAAAAGTCATCCCGACCCAAAACCAAAAAATATGTCCCAAAATACTGCTAGATTTGAACTGTGAAAAGTCATCCTAGACAAAAACCAAATACAGGCAATTCAAAATATTCATATATTTAAAACAAAATGATGGAGATTTTATTACTTTATTTTATTACTTGTTTCACTGCATATATGCATATATATACTATACACAGGAAACAAGCTAGTTAAATTTTCCAGTTTTTATAACATATCTAAACGAAGTAAATTATTAAATGAACATAAAACAAAAACAAACAACTGCAGGAACCACTGTCAAAAAAAGTAAGTACTACTGAGTGGAAACTAATCACATTCTAAATGTCATACACTTTGCTTCCAGTCTCTCTGGATAGAAACTAGTTAGGCATAGATTAGACGCTTAGTAAGCAATCACATCAGTCTAAATGTGATTATTTGATACACAATATATGTGTTTAACAAATACATTATCAAATCAACATATTAAGCTCTCTCTTACGTATAAGACTATCACAGTTGTGTGTGTCTAAACATGTACCACAGGCAATCTCTGTTTGCTACTAAAAGGTTAGTCTGCGCTGGAAAGGTGAGACATCAGTAGCAAATTTATATTAGAAATTTTCATAATTTAACTTGATATCAGTAAAACAGAAGGCAGAGATTTAAACAAACTTTTTTTTCCTACACATAAAACTGGATCATCCACAGGAACAGCCTGTGGTCTCTACGACGACCTCACAACACAGCTGCCTGCTTGGCGGACAGGTTTTTCAAAGTCTTGATGCAACTTTGGATGCTTTCCTTTTCCTGCAAATATAAAAGGTTTGAGAATAATGTTAGTTAGTGTGTGGCAACATATTGTAACATATATAACATTTTTAACCTTGTTCAGGTGGCTGGCGCCCCCGCTGAATATATGGCAAAGACCCTGATAATATTCCAGGAAAAAATTCATAAAAGAGATCATTTAGTTTAAAATTTATTTATCAAAATCTGATAATATATAAAGATATATAAATACATCTTTCGGTGACCTGCAACAATTTTACTGTATGTCTCATGCACTGGCCCCTATCACTAAGGCTTTCAAGAAAATCTTTAATCAACTGGCTTTGAAAAAGCTACTTCGCTTAGCTCAAAGGACCCCCTCTGGTTAGTTAGTGTAGCCATATACTGACCCCTAAACATTTGCGCAGGCGCAAACTCATCCAATAGCTATGCTTATAACAGGCCACTATAGACAAGCTGGAAAAGCGACACTTATAGGGAACCGGACCCAGCTTGAAAGGTTGCTTTTTCAGCTGCTGGTGCAAAAGTGTGGATATGGTTTGAGTATATCACTTTCACGGAAACGACAGTGTCTAAGAGCTCCCCTCCCCCTCAATGTTAAAATCCGAAAAATTTCAGCATTTTTCCTCTCCTTCGTCCATGATATACCAAGAATATTCCTCAAGAGCCTAATTTTACATTATCTCTACTTACCTGTGCATGCTCTAGTATTATTTTTTTTCCTAGCTCTGCCTGGCCTAGCAGCCTCATCATCAGATTTTTGAGTGTCGCTACAGCATGGGCTAAATAAAGGCGAACAACAGGTTGTTGGAATCCCAACAAGACAGGCAATCATATCTACACTTCAAGACATCTGCTGCGAGAAACAGCGTACATAAGGGCAGGCTATGTTGACTCTTCAATCAGTAATTCAAATAAGAAGACAATGACACACAACTGTTTATACAATCCTGCATGGCAAATTTATGATAAATCAGAACGATCTTTGCACTGTGAAGGAATATGATGACCCAAACGTTTGAAAAATATAAAGATATACATTTATATTTATCTTGTTTCAAAGGTTCCTCAGCTGAAGATATTTCTAGCAAATAAATGTGTACTCATATGCTGTACTAAAAAGGACAAAGTTAACAATCAGACAATATGTCAGGATCTTGAAACACAGGTCTTACAAACTTGAATAGATCAGTCAGTGACATGAATGTCTGGACATGCATGCAGAATAAAAGAGAATCATGGTAGGCCAATAATCCATCAACCAGATCATTAGGGTAACCTAGAGTTTACTGGAAAGAGAACATCTGACAGTCCCTGACTGACAGAGAAGTCTGGCAATCCTCTACAACCCACGGTAGAAGAGGAGCGACTAAGTTAGTATGTTGCACTATCTAACTGAATATTCTTATTCGGTGTTTATGTCGCACTATCTAGCTAAATCTTCTTATTCTGCATCTACCCTGAAAATTTACTTGGCACATTTTGCTGTGGTCTACAGCTAGACAGTGATATCTACACCTTCCCACCTAAAACATTCGATTTTAGCAAATCTTCATTCAGTCACCAAGTAAAAAATATTTGTTAAGGAGCAATGTGTCTTTTCTGTTTGCCGCCAGGGCTCACAAAGTGAAACTAACTTGTGTCACATACACACACCCCGCCCCCTCCACCCTAATGAAAGCACCGCAAACAGCACACCACATGGTTTACTTTCCATCATAACTGAAGAATTATGAAACATATTATGGACTACTCAAGGACCTACCTGCTGGGCTGTGATGCTCTTGGTAACACTTGAAACAATCCAATTCACCATGTGTTCTTGCTCGTATCGCCTCTTCACATTCTCCTTTTCAAGTGCATAGTCCTGTATCAAACCAAATTATGTTAAATAACCTTTTGAGACTGCTTTTCTGAATGCAAGATATAGGATTCAATTGTGCCTACATATTAATCAAATAAAAAGATGAAACATTTATAATCACATTTTCAAAGATGACAACAATAAACACAAAACAGATGTCCAAGGCAACCATAGTGAACCAGAAACTGTACACTGGCACTATGTCATTAAATGGCAACCTAGAGGCTGAGACAGCAGCAATTGAGCAATTTTATTTGTTTGCAGTTTTCTAAGAATTTGTTTAAAAATTTGAAATCAGGTTCACAGGTCTTCTTCTTTTCTCAACTCCTAGAATGGCTCACAGCGTCAGGATGAGAAGAGATCTCTAGTACAAGCGCGTCTGTTTGCTTTGTATATAGTACTTTTGATATTTGTGCTGTCCATTTTTGCGTGGTTGACCTCTGGCTGTGTTATCGCTGTATCTGCATAACATTGTGGTACCCTGTCTGATGCTAGTCTTGTTACATGGCCAAACCATTTGACCTACTGTCTAGCTATAAAGCTGAGTATTAATTCTCTACCGACTTTCCTCCTGATATCATCATTCTTAAGTCGATCTTTCCTTGTTACTCCTAGCTTAGCACGTAAACATTTCATTTGTGTTGTCACTATTTTCCTTCTGTCTTCTGAAGATAGTATCCATGTTTGACACTGACAGGATAGCGTTGGCAAGAATAATGCGCTGAACAGTGTTCTTTAAGTGTTCATATGTACATGCTTGCATTTCAAAATTGGTGCCATTTGACCTAAAACTTAATTTCACTGGTTAAATCACAAAATCCATTGTGAGAGACCCATGAATGCTCAAATGCAAAGAGTAAATATCTAAAGGCCATATTAGAATTTCCAAAGCCAAACCACTGCTGTGCTAGATATGGGCCTGATATGCTATAATCAATATTTATGAATGGTATTTAAAAATGACAACTTCAATACAACAAAAAGGCTGTTTACTTTCACCGGCACAGGCTACGAAGCTGCTCGTACAGGCCACAAGTAATATATTACAATATGGCAATGCGATTTAAAAAAATAACTGACCGGATAGCCTAAGTAATACAATGTGATATAATGGGATCAACAATAACTGACATGATCATCACCATGTAGCAGGTTATTTGCAAAACGTCGCTCTTATCACAGTCTGCCTAAAAAGAAACTAGGTCTCTCGCCAGCTCTCTTGCCTCGTGTTCTTTCATATTCAAGGAGTCACTTATATTATGTGCCCATCTTTGTGTTGGTCTGCCCCTGCCCCTCATTCCTGGTACCATGCCCTCTGTTATTATTATTTTTCCAAATCTGCCATGACCCTTGATATGACAAGAATATTTCCGCTTCTGAGACAAGCCAATCGTTCTGGAAGTTCAGATCTTTCAAAAAGTCAGCATATCTCCTCTTCAATGTTCACAACATTCTGAGAATCTTTCAATAGCATTTCAGCTCACAATATTTTTATTTCTTGAGGACTGGGAGATAGTCCTCAACTCACATATGTTTGTTGCTACAAGGAAGATGCATGCTCTCAATTGTAATTTCCTTGCTGGTTCTTAACAACAGACTTTTAGCGCCGCTTAATCTTTGCATTGCAATGCCATCCTCTTTTTGATTTCTGTCAAAGAGTCTGCATTGCTATTTATTATAGTGCCTAGATATTCAAAATTTGTGACATTTTCAATTTTTTTCATCATTTATTGTGATTTTAGGCTGACAGCCAGTTTTGTCTGTGGACATTATTTTTGTTTTCTATAAATTCAAGAACAGATTTTGATCTTCGCTGTGTTTCTGTACAGACATTATTCAATTTTCTATTTTCTTTACACTGACATGACAGCCAAAGTAATTCAATGTGATCAACAGTAAAAACCAACCTGACAGTTAAAGTAATACAATTACCATGAGCAATATAATGTCATGAGGCTAATGAAAAAAAAAAAATCAAGTAACACCTGGATTCATGTATTTACAGATAGGCCCAGAAATAAATCAACAGAAAATGGAGATGATGAATCAAAGAAAAGTCAGTCGGCTGCAACTAGAAAATTATCAAATGCTTTGAGAACAGCAGCATAAATGCTTCCGTCAGAGAAAAATGGAGAGAAACATGCAAAGTCAGTTATCACAGCACTAAAGAGCAAAAACAATAAAGAACTAGCAGACCTTAGAGCTGCACTCCATGTACCGAGTCAGAAATCAAAATAAATACAATGTAACAGGGCAAATGGGGGGAAAAAAGCAATAGATCAATAGTCATGGGTAATACCATTTCAAATTATATATCTAGCAAAGTAGGATAATGTAACTGATTAATTTAGGTATAAATTCTGATAGTGAAGGAAATATGTCACGCATTGGCAAGGCATCAGCAACTTTTAAAAGCTAGAACAAAATATCGAACTCTAAAGTGCGCAGTTTTAAAACCAAGTTTTGCATTATCAATTCTAATGTTATTTCACTTTCAACTTGATGCAAGTGAAAGTTGGAGAAACACTAAAGACATTGAATGAAAGTTAAATGCATTCAAAAACAAATGCCTGGAAAAAAAAACCGATTAAAATTAAATGGGATGTATTCAAAAGGGGTAAAGAAATCATAGAAATGTCTGTGCAAACATTTAGTATCAACAGTTATAAGAGAGAAAAGATGGTGCTGCACTGAACACATCCTGAGGAGAAACCAGCAGAGAATCAGCAAACAGGCATTAAAATAGGGCATAAAATTAGATTAAGGAGGCAAAGTCACCCAAAAGAAACCCTAAGATGAACGCTGATGAGAGAGGTCAAAGCTGCTCTACTGCATTCCATTGATGATATTGAACTGATTGCATAGAATAGAATGAATGAAGGAATAGACCCGATGTGACATATACTGGCACAACATGATAATGACAAGTAAACTAAACATTCTGAAAAAGGAAAAAAAAAAAGAATAAATTGCTAACCAATCGTTTTTTCACTTCCTGAAAAGCTGTCAACAGTCTCTGGCGATAAGCAGCCTCCAGCTGGAGCTCCACACCTTCCTGTTAAGACAAAGGAAGAAATTGACGTAATTGTATGAATACAAATAAAATATAAAAACAGAAAAGTAACTTCTATTCAACAAGAAAGCCACAGTAAAACACAGGAACACAATGAGTTGATTTGTCTATGAGGAGTGCATGAGATGGCAATAGAGGCATCCTTCATAAGCCAGTCTTTTATGATTTGTGATAAACCAAACCTATAGGTGTCATGGACCGTGTTGTGTGGAAAGGGCATATCAGGCAGGGAATGAGAGTGAAGGAAGAAATGACTGCAGAAAGGATGAGAGCTTAGCGACTGAAAAGAAATGGATTAAACACAAATGTTAACAACAATGGTCCTGAAATCCCATGCCACCACTGCGGAAGATTTTTCTTGACACGGGAGGGTCTTGCTAGTCACACTCGCCATGGGCTGTGAGTATCATGCTTCCTCAAAGCGCAATATAACACTATCGTCTGGAAAGACAGAAAGGTGTCTGGCTGGAATCGAATGTAGGCCTGAAAGAGTCTCTCTTCAGACCAGTAAACTTTCATTGCCTATGCATCTTCAATGTCGTGTATCTACCTTTGCGGAGGTGTGTCACTGCCTATTTTCCTGAAACTGTACCCTCTAACACGTTCAACACAGCCTTCAGGACATGCTGCTGTTTATAAGCCAATTCTTTTTGATTCTCAAACCATGCAGGGTGTCAGTATTTGTTTTCTTCTTGAAACCCAGACGTGCTAGGTTACAGTAATTATATTCTTTTGCTTTCCTCATGAGCCACAATTATACAAGGGCAAGGTGAATCCCAGTATCAATTTTTTTAAATGTTTGAATACACAAGCACAAAAACATGTCATTTCCTACCTTCTTGGCTAGGTAGAGGTGCTTGGCTACTTCGGTCTCCTCTATAAGTCGCTCACACTTGGCAATAGTCTCTTGTGCTGCCCCCTTCATGGCATTAATCGGACGAGTGAAGATAATATCCTGCTTCAGCTGAATATAAAAAAAGAAAGCGTTGCTAGTATATGTCACACCTACACCCTATAGAACGAAAGGCCCCCAAAAAGTCAACAATGATGACTACTTACAATCCCATTATCATATTCTGTCTGCTTAGTATTTCTTCATGTTCACTGGCCTTCAGCTGAAATGTATGGTTGTTCATCCACTGTTAGACCTTGGTCTTGTTTCAGAACTCGAGTTTTGGGTGCAGATCTATTTTACAGACTGACTGACTTTGTATGCAGACTCTTGGTTCCTCGCCTCTGAAGCAGATGCATTCTGATTTCGAAGGAAGCACCCCTAATTAATAAACTGTTATGATATGCTTTGGTTGGGGGGGGAGGGGGGGGGGGGAGGAGGGGCAGTAGGTATTGGAACTCACATGGAGAACGTCTAATCAGTACACTATTAAGTATTTCAAATATATTTCTTTAAACCGCATACCTTTGCTCATAATAAAGATAATCTTTGTTGCAAAGCCTTTTTAGGATGTCGTAAACTTAATCATAAGCATTTTTTGGCAAACTGTGGACTTACTAGGCAATTTTATGTTACATTTATTAAGGATCAATTCCAGCACAGGGAATCAGTTTTTAGTGACACAAGTGTCCCCACAAAAGATTGGGGCCTCACTGCGTAATATTTCCACATTTAGCAGTGGACACACTGTAGACAACTTCCATTGTGGCTTGGGCACAAACTAAAAATAAAAGTGTACCACTGCTGTGTGAAGGTTATGATGCTCACACATACTGTTGCAGAAGTTACCAAATCACATGCAACTAACTTCAAACCATGGTATGTCTGGATTGTGAAAGGGTGTTTACAAACTCTAAGCAACAAATGCTGACTTGCTCAGAACAAGCTTCAGGCAAAAAATCTTAGCATTTGATATTACTGTGTGTTACATATAAAATAATAAGACATTTTACCTGAAGCTTGTTCTGAGGTTACAGCCACAAGATCAAAGAAATATAGGCAGACAAAAAAAAAAAATGGAAAAGACATGGAATGAGCTTCTCATGATAGCAAAGTATAGGACAACTTGGTTGAGGGCATATGCCCTCTTTGAAGATAAGGGACAAGGAAAAAATGCTTTATATACGAGGGGAAGTTAATAAGTTAAGTCACAAATGGTTATGGGGTATCAAGATAATGCAGTTGGTGGTTTATAAAGGTGTCAGCAACAACGAACTTTGTGTCTCCATTCCTTCCTTAGGTGTTGCAAGTGCGTTCGCAACACAGAAACTGTACTTACGGAGTGTACCCTTAAAGAACAACGCGCTGTTGAGCATTTTATTTTGGGGGGAAAAAGGACTGCCTGCAAGGGACATTCATAAGGCTTCCTGCTTATGCCAACAAATGTCTATCCTGTAAAGCAGTAAATTACTGGGTAAAAAAAAAAATATCCCTGACTCTCTATGATTGTTGATAAAGTCCCCTGAAGGTTACGCCATCAGCAGTGTAGGTTATATTGACAGTTTTCTGGCAATGTCAAGGAGTGCTTTTGAACAATTTTTGAAAAATGAGGTGACAATATGAATGCTGATTCATACTGTAAAGTTCTATCAATGCTTCATGATGCAGCCTGAAGAAAACATCCAAGCCTGCTGACTAGAGGAGTACTGCTCCTTTATGACAATGCCAGATCATATTCGGCTCAGTTAACTCAGGAGAAAATTAACCATCTAGGGTGGAAACTTCTGGAATATCCACCTTACAGCCTAGACTTAACCCCAAGCAATTTTCCACCCTTTTTTGGCCCACTGAAAACTCACCCTGGCGGGAGACATTTTGTTAATGACGCAGAAGTTGAATGTGAAGTGAAAATATGTTTTAGAAATCAGAGCATGCAGTTCTTTCTATGCAGCACGTTTAGGAGGACTGATAAAACGATAGGACAAATGCATCAATACTGGTGGATATTACGATGAAAAATAAAGGGGCAGTGAATGTGTTTTAAATAAAAGGTTTTTAAATTGTGACCTTTAGTTTTTTTTTTTTAATAAACAACCATTACGACTTAGTTTTTGACTTTCATTTGTACTTAAAGAAAAGTGGCGGTAAAACATTACTATTATATTATTAGGGAAAGTGCCCTTTAAAAGAGAAATCTGCTACTTCTGGGTTCGTCCTTAAAACAAAAAGGCATTTGGTATGTTTTGTCATTTACAGCAAGGCTATATCTACAACTTTCAGCAAACCCCTGTCATTTTTTTAGGGTGCAGTGGATATTTTATTAACTCTACCCCCCCTCCCCCCCCCAATAAATCACATGGGGGAGGGGGGCAATCTGTCACAATAAAGGCAGTCTGAATAGCGAAGCGAAGGGCTGAACAGTAAATTTTAGTTACAGCTTGAGTTAATATGAAATCAATGCTGCAGACAAAAAGCTGACCCAAAGAAACTTGTGGTTATAAGTCTAGCTGTACACCACAAAACAACTTGCCTGCTGGTCTTGTATAGGCAAACACAGAAAAAGAAAGAATCTGATTAGTGAAAACTACAAGCCTCTATGGGTTTGTACCAACAGAATACATATTCACACCTCTAAAAAAAAAAATTTTTTAAGCCAATGACTAAATAAAAACATTTCATCTTTACAAATAACTAAGCAAAGTTATTTGAGAAAACGTTACCTGCAGCTGGTCAGAGAAATACTTCTTAATTTGACTTCCGAACTTGTAGTTGACAAACCAGACTGCTCCCCAGAAGGAAGGGAACTCCCAGAAGTAGTGGTCAATGACCATCACCTCTTTAGACAGCATCCACAAGGACAGACCTCCCGCAAACAAGTAGGGACCTGAGGACACAAGTTTAGTTTCTCAGGGTAAACATCATGATCTTTGTTTGGTGCAATCTTTCTATCAGAACTAAAACTTGGAGTTGCAGTGGCAAATTTCTGTTGTGAAAAACAATTTGTGTATCCCTGGCAATTTCTCTTGCTTGAGCTCTTATCTGGTTGAGAGGAAATTCTGCACACAAAAAAAAGAGCCATTTCTTGGGTCCCCGGTGAGTTGTCCTTATCAGATCTGCACTGTAACAAGTTCCAAAAAGCATGTGCTACTATATATAATCTGACCATGTAACAAGATTACTTCTAAACATCCTTGAAAGATACTGCTGAAATAGAGCAAGAGGCAGACCAGATAAGACATGGATTCATAGGATAGCAGAGGCAACAAATGAAACCTGGATGGCAGGCTACACAAAAGCCTTCTCAGGAACATGACAGGAGTTAAAAACACTGCAAAGAGTCAGAAAAATGACAAAATGATAACTTTCTAACATGGTTAGAGATGAGGCTAAAAACAGTGTACGTAATTGGTCACACAAACAACTGTATTGACCACATACTGCACGGCATTAGTCTAACACTTACTGTCTTGTACTAGCCAAACTAACTGTATTAGTCAAAGACTAATTACAGCAGCAAATGATTACTAGCATTAGCTAAAACTAGTTGTCTCAGGCTAATTGTGCATGCTATATACTATCTGTATTAGCTAGTGGCTAGACACTTACGTGCGGATCAGAAGGTCGTGGGTACGCTACCTGGTGGAGCTGGACTTTTTTCAAAAATAACCCTGATTCCCAAGTCAATCCAGTCTGGGTACCGTGTGCAGTCCCGGGAAGTAAAGGCGGCCAGCGTGGTGCTGACCACATCACCCATTTTGTGCCGATTGGTCCAGCCCTATATGCCTAAAGGCGTGAAAAAGGGACCTTTACTTTACAGACTGTACTAACCACACTAGCTGTGCTAGACAAAACTTATATTAGTCGAAAACATGTTTTAGCCAAGGATTAAATGTATTGTATTTAGTCAAGTCCTTCCAGCGTGTGTTTCAAGGCCCAACTGTGGGCAAAAACAAGAATAGACCTAATGCCTGCAGTAAAAGTTGACTAATTGGGACCTTTCTTCCAAGTCGGAGTACATCTGCCTGAGAGGCAAGGAACAAGCAGTCTGCATGCAAATGTGTCAGACCTGTAAAAAGGATGTGAATGCAACACTTAGTCTAGAAGTGGACAAACAACCAGAAATTTCAACCTGAGTTTACAGCCGGTAAACATGTAGAAAATTGTTTTTTCTCTTACCAGTGACACCAGTCTTTGGGTAGAAGAACTCAAACCAGGAGGCTGGGACTATTCCCATTCTCACAGGCGGTGCCTGATCAGGCTGAGAGGGATTTGGGAAGTTCTTCAAGTCTCTTTCTGGACCAAAGTAGACACTGTTGACATAGTCCCATTGCTCAATGCGCTCTTCCTTTGTGTATGTTTTTGGAGGAATATACTCTGCAGATCCTCCTGTTGAGCCTGCACGGATGGGTGCTACAGCAATAGCTCTGAAGGCTCCTTGTCCATGAAGGATGGACCTCAAAACACCTAAGGAGTAAACAAATTACCATTGTCACATGAGAAGCATATCAATTATGTCAACAGGAAATGGGGGAGGGGGGGGGTAAATTACAAATAATGTCACACAAGAAGATATCAATTATGTTAACTGAGTGGCATTCCGTTATGAAATATCATCCATGCAGTGACACCCGAAAAGTGTAGTTAAATACCATTCCTTCATGTGCATGAAGTCTTCTTTCTTCCTCACGTTCACCTGCTGTAAACTCTGAGTGTTGCATGTGCATGAAGTCTTCTTTCTTCCTCACGTTCACCTGCTGTAAACTCTGAGTGTTGCATGTGCATGAAGTCTTCTTTCTTCCTCACGTTCACCTGCTGTAAACTCTGAGTGTTGCATGTGCATGAAGTCTTCTTTCTTCCTCACGTTCACCTGCTGTAAACTCTGAGTGTTGCATGTGCATCTGTTTTACAAATCTGACTCATTTGTAGGCAGAATGTTGGTTCCATGCCTCTCAGGCACATGCACTCAAACTTTAAAGGAAGCTCCCAGTTAGTCAACTCTTACGACATGCTTTTGGGTACGCAGTGGATCTATTCTTGTTTTCCCTAAAACAGGGAACTGGAACCCACATGGGGAATGTGCGTGTAGTTTTTAGGAGGCTAGAATGTGAAAATATTAACTAAAAATATCATTCAGAGGCGTGTCCTTAAGACCACAATGGCTTTTTTAAAACTAAGCTAATGTTACATTTTCCAATAAGCCTCAATGACAGAGGTCAAAGAATCATGGCCTGAGTCGCCCGATACATACTGGTTTTTTTTTTCAGGCCCAAGGAAAACAAATCCCATGTTGTGCCCTTAACTGTTTCAAGTCTAGTCTTAGTGCCTAACAATATTAGTAATAATCAATGTTCTATGTGGCAAATAATTATAATTTTTATACTATATTCAAAACAATATAGAGTGTATTAGCAAACTCTTTAAAAAAAAAAAAACTACACATAACAAATATACGACTAGGGCAGGTGGAAAAGGGGGGGGGGGGGGGTGCTGTCTCAGCTTCCCTACATTCTGTGTGTGTACTGTGTGGGTGGGGAGTCAAGCTCAAGGTTCTAATGCTAAGGCTAATCAACATCTGGCACTCTTTCGAGTACTGGTCCAAAATTATTCAATGCAAAAACATTCCTTTTTTTGTGTAAAAATATTTAGGCCATTATCATCAGTTTCCACTTCTGCCATTAGACGCTAAGCTAAGCGTCATGGGAAGGAATCGATTTTGATCCATTGTTTGAGCATCGGAGGAGTTGTTTTCAATTCATTAAAGTGTATTGGGGAGGAACTGTATTTGATCTCTTGTTCAAATTACTATTGACTCCCCTTTGGGTTCCAGGGCCACATGTTTGAGGGGAAAAAAGAATAGATCCACTGCCACCTAAAAGCATGTTGTAAAATGCGACTAATAAGGACTTCGCTGAAATCAGATGTGTTTGGGGCGAAAGGCGCAGATATCACAGCCTAGGTGTAAACCACAACACAACACACCAACCGCCCTTTAAGGGCGAACAAAAGAAAGAAGCTTATCTTCCTGTTACATGACCATTGAGCGTCTTGTAGCTGCTATTGCCGCCAAGCTGTGAACCGCAAGACCGAGCAAACGGTGCAGCCTAGTTGTAATTTGTAAACCATCACACGCCCCAAAAAAATTTATCACCTATCCTCGGAATAGCGGTCCCAAATTATGGAGGCCGGAAATCTACCCTAACAGGGCCTCAGTCACAAGTAAATTGTAGACCTCTTCCGGCAACTACACAGCATACCGCTAAGAGTATCTCCCGCACCGCTACGCGCTGCTAAACTAGATGGCTGGGACTCACATGCAGCAACTACCGCATCTCCTGCAACTTCCTATTTTTTTGCTCGTGAGCTCTAGCCATCTTGTTCAGCTCCCCCATCTGTGCCATGCGTAGCGGCATGGGGGATACTTTTGGTGGCCAGGCACCGTAGCAGAAACAGGTCCGTAATTAACATACCGCTTAGACCCTGTTAGAGTTTTTGTTTGACCTCGATAATATTGGCCCGTTTTTCGGAGGCAATCCTAATTTTGCCGCGATTTATTCCTCGGCGGGCACTCCGTATTTTACACTTGACTGAGGCCCTGTTAGGGTATTTGTTTGGCAGCCATAATATGGGGATGAAGTTCGGAGGAGAGCCAGATTTTTTTTTACAGTGAATTATTTGGGCTCTCTCTGAACTTCGATAGGGGGCTAAACTAGATGGCTGAGACTCATGAGCAAATAAATTGGAGGAAGTTGTAGGAGATGCGGTAGCCGCTGCTCGTGAGTCCTAGCCATCTGGTTTGACCCCCATCCGTGCCGCGCGTAGCAGCGCAGTGATACGCTCGGTAGTGAGTTTAATTGGAAGAACAATATCGCTAACCTGTGTCGGAGCATGAGGTCTCCCCGCCATGTCGATACTATTGTGTGTATTGTGGCATTTCTCGAAATTGTCAACGGAAAGTAATCCTAGTTTTGCCGTGATTTGTTCGTCGGAAGAAGTCTGCATTTTACACACAACTGAGGCCCTGTTATGGTATTTGTATGGTCGCCATAATATGGGGATGAAGTTCGGAGGAGAGCCATAATTTGGGACCGGTATTCGGAAGAATGCCAACTAATCCAATCTTCAAGGTTTCACCACCCACAACCTATTATTATCTTATGATACATGGGAACAAAATGCACTGGATTGTCATCTAATATTGCAGATGATACATGGTCGTTTTCACAGTGTGATTATGAATGGTGGTGAGTGAAGAATGATCTGAGAGTCTGCAGACTTTTTGCCCACTCATACAATTACAGTACATACATTCTTCATTATTTTAATATTATTATACATATCAATATCATCTTAACAATTCTGCAAGAATTACTAAAAAGGCACAAGGACATGACAATTTGCAATAAAATATAAATTTATTTTAAAATTTTAGGGAGAAATAATAAACACAAAAGTTCACAAACTATACACGTCTGTGTCATTTTGTTCTGTGGTGTAGTGTGTTCGAGTTCGACCGTTCTTCACCGTGACCAGGCCGGTGATATGAAACTTGAAAGGCAAGAAGGATATTCATTTTGTTTTTTCGCTAAAATCACAACTGTCACTGTCTGATTCATTTCACAGAATTTTAATTTAACAAAACATTAAAAGAGACAAAAAACACTATCAAAGCAACACTGCGACATAACAGAAAGATATATACCTGATTTCAGTGCTGGCAACATCTTCGCCCTTCAAGCAGACTTCAACATGGAATGAGAAGACCCGGATGTGTGAGAGATTTTCAAGAGTGGTCGTTCTTTCGTTTTAACAATTCTATGTTACTTCCCTTTGAGTTTTACAGGCAGCGTGGCGAAGATCTATGTTTCACACCGGTGGCATTTCGTGAAGACATAGGAGCTGAATTCTGGGCGCTCAGGTCCCGTGAGCCTCCATCTTTTTTCCCCTCGTTATTTTTCTACGATTAGGCTCTTTGTTGGAGGCGCCTTGTTTTCTTTAAACACCAATCCGGAGGACTCGGAATCAGCTGTACACACATGTCGTAATTATAGCTGACTCACAAAGTATGTTGGGAAAGGTGGAGACAACATGCTCCTTGCAGAGTGGCAAGCATCGCTTCAGAGATCCCGGGTAGCTTTTGGATATTTTCCTCATGTTATGCCGGTGTGTTGGGAAACAAGCAGGCAGATAGACCAGCCAGTTCTGGACCACATGGCGGTCAACTGATGTTTGACAAGCTAGATGTTGTTAGAGCCCTTTAGTAGCAAGTAAACAGTGAGGAGGCACCCAGAGATCGTTTCGGTTTGCGGAGAATGTCGCTGCGGGGAGTTAGTAGGGGATATGTCCGACGCTCAACATAAAGGCCAGACGGATGTACAATCAGACAGTTACTGGTACCACCGGAATTGGAACACTTCGCTTGCTGCTGAAGATGGGGACAAAGCACTTATAGGAATGTGCTGTGTTGTTGACTCTTGATTCAACATTTTAAACACTATTCACTTGACTCAAAAGTAATACTTTCATTATCCAGTAACGTCTGTGTTCTCAAAATAACAGTGCTTCGTGTATGTGTAATAGGGGAGAAATAATGTTTCCCAACGCTAGGCAGCACTGGTTGTGCTGTCCTCATGGGTTCCAACGTCAGTCTCTCATTCAGCTAGGCAAACAACGTGGGTTAAAGTGAGAAAAACTGACTGGCTTGATTTTTTTTTCGGGGAAAGTGAGGGAGAGGGAGAGGTTTTAGATTTTTGTTCAGGTAGGCGCCAAATTTAATGAAGATAGTTGAGTCCCTACCCGCCAAATAATTGAATTTAGACGAGTCAAGAATTGACATCACAGCAATCTGGGCACTCCCATGCGTGCTCCGTACTCATCTTTAGCAGCCAGCTCAGAGTTCCAATACTAATGGTACCGGTCGTAATCTGGTTATATGTCCGTCTTGCCTTTCCCCTGAGTGTAGTCAGCCGGCCAGACCCTCTGGTTACATCCCGGTGCCCCTTTCTTTCCAGGCCATAATAATCGTGTTTCTCTCCTCTGACTCTGTTGTTTGTTCCCAAAGGGCCTGTGACCACATCTGCATTGTCATGCATCAAATCACCATCCAGGGGCGCAGATCCAGTCAATCTGTCTGCATGTTCATTCCCCACCACGCCAGCATAGCCGCCAAATAATTTTATAACAAGAAAAGAGATTTTACTGTCCCTGGGTATGTTATTACATTTCCTTGCCATTCAGTACAATAATAATAAGATAATAACAACAATGAATGTCAAATAAATATAAAGATATACTTGAAATAATATGAGATGTATAAACACAAACTTTAAAACGTAATTTATGTACAAAATTAATACCCCCCCCCCCCCCCCCCCACCATTTGTTAAAGGAAAAGGGCCAATTAAAAACCCGAGCAAACCTCCCCAGTGCACTTATTTTCCTATAAAATTTGTAAAGGAATGTGGAGGAGGAACTCTCCCAATGTGTCCTAACTACGTTAAGGGAGTTATGTGACAAGGAAGAACAAGACAGTATGCACCGAAAAACAGCCACCCTCAGTCTACTTGATGATGATGAATACCTACAGGATCTTTTGGTTCGTGTTTACAAAGATGGGTCAGCACAAAATGCAATCAGAAACGGAGTAGCAGGCTTGTACATTGAGCACCCTAAAAATACAAGGGATACAGTCAATATACCAACAAGAAAGCACTGTCACAACTACGATGCAGAAATTCAAGCCATTACGACAGAAGCAGAGAAACTACTAAATACAGGGCATATTTCACATACAGTGGTATTCCTGACAGATGCAAAAGCAGTACTTTAGGCACTCCAGTCTGGACAATTACCGGATATACGGACACTACTCTATTTGCCAATCAGCCATGTGTCTATGTAGAATGGCACTTTGAGACAACAGATCACATCATCCAAGACTGTCCCAAAATGCAACATATCAGGGGAAAACTTTTGGCCAAGAGATACACTGGTGGAAGTCAGACTTTACGGGCCACTGAGTGAATTACAAAAGAGAGAACTTTATACCAAAGGCAGCACACCAAATATAGATACATTATTTCAAGCGAACAAAAGAAGAGAAGAAGAAGACTTTGGAGAAAAAGGGATGGGGGGGGGGGGGGAGATTGAAGAGGGTTAGAGCTCCCACCCGTTCGTTGCCCAGTTGAGGTTGAGGATAACCTCATATATATATATATACATATATACACACACACACGCGCGCGCGCAATATACGTTACATAAGAATTAATAATAACAACTCGAGTAATAATGACACATGTAATATTAATAATAGTAATAGTAATGATAACACTGTTAATGATGATAAAAATAATCGAAATAGCACTAGAAGCAGTGATATCAACAGTAGTGGTAGCAGGATCAGTAGTAGTTGTGGTGGAGGTGGTGGTAATAGTAGCAGAAGAAAAAGCAATAGTAGTAGTAGTAGTAGTAGTAGTAGTAGTAGTAGTAGTAGTAGTAGTAGTAGTAGTAGTAGTAGTAGTAGTAGTAGTAGTAGTAGTAGTTACGGTGGTGGTGGTGGTCAGGTAGTGAATCAATTGTTAAAATCTATACAGTGTAAAGGTCATTATATGATAATTTTCTGCTCGTCGCTTCACTGTTAAAGGTATGCGTGCGTAGTTGGCACCCAAGGATTAGTAAATAGCAGTTTTCACGCGTTACCGTTTCTACACGAGTGACGTAATCAATCAGCTTGCGTTCCTGTGGCTATGTTAGCGATGTAAACCACGTGGCGTGTAATTAAATTGAAAACAGTTAATAATAAATAGTAAACTAATGCATTTTTCTTTTGTGATGGCAAGTCTAAACAGCGACTACAACCGTGACATTATTGCCACTGGTCAACAACTAATGACCTAAGAAGTCAGGTGGGTTGGCTAGGATTTGTTGGTAAGGAAATATTGAAAACCCAATAATTAAATTTAACTAAAAAGGTCTTATTTAAATCAATGCGGAAAAAAAAAAATAAGAAGAAGCAAAACAAAGAATGTAGTCACTTTTAAAACATGTGAGCCCAAATATTTTCCTCAACTCCAGGCATTTTTATCGTCAGCACGTTTCAATCACAATTACTTCACTGTATCTTAACGGTCTTTAAATCGTATTGGCAATTAATAAGTTAATGTAATATACAAGATAAGTTATTGTATATACTGAGCGAAGAGAGTTAAAGTTAGGATAAAACCGATTAACGTAAACTATAAGAAATACATTAGGATGTAAACAACGTATAGGATCAGCAATAAACGCACAGCAAATTGCTTGGAACCGAGAGAGTTAATATTAAATACACAAGCTTGATCATTAACTACGTGAAGCAACATCTAAAATCTTGTTTAGGAACTATAAACATTGTATAAAACTGTTGTTGATATTAACTGTCAACTTAAATAGTCATTTTGAAGGCAGATAACGTAATTTGGCACCATACTCACATGATAAATCTAGCCACATCGCCTAACACAGAACACGGAGTACAATATATTATGACGATTAATTTATACTAGTACCCGATCTTTGCCATATACACCCCACCAAAATTGGACTAAAGAGAAGGTTGCTCCAATAAGTCTGCTTTATACGGAGAAACAGGGTGTCTGCTAACTGCTCCTTTTGGACCCGCATCTGAATAGTGGTTAAGTGGTTACAGCAGTAATTGGATCTCTGTTTTTCTGGTTGCAGTCCTGAAAAAAAAATATCAAAAACGTATCATCTCTTCGACGCCATTATTAATTATTATGCGTTTTCATTATTAACTGCACCACAGCATGGATCAGACAAACTTTTCGAACATAAGGTATCACACGAATGTCATTTAGACGGATATATTCACAGCACTGCTTATTAAATAACAATCACAGACTGCTTTGTGTGTGTGTGTGTAATATTATTTAACATTAGCTCAAGTAAAGAGGAAAGGAGAAGGGGGGGGGGGGGTTGTCGTAGGTTCGAATCCTGACGGAGTCGAATAATTTTCAGAAATGACCCTGGATCCATGGTCGACCTAGCCTTGGGTAAGTACCAGGTTAAAGTCCTGGGAATTGAAGGCGGCCGGTTTGCTGCTGACCACACAACCCCTCTGAGTGCCGATTGGTCTGTAAAATATTGGTTGAGCCCTGTATACCCAACACGCCTGAAGGATGGGAAAGGTGTCCTTTTCCCGTCAACAGGGACCCTAGTCGATATATGTGAGCACTGCCTGTGTTTTCCCGCCAGCGAGTTTCTAGTCACAGTTGTGTTGTTACTTTTTGATAATCACAAGCAGTTGGTTAGCACCTTTTCTTCTTAACAGACATCATTTTCCACCGTCCCGGTGTGGATTTGGCGCCCCACTATGGGCACAACAAGAACAGACCCACTGCCTTCCCTGTAAGCATGCCGTAGGAGTCGACTAATTGAGGACATCCATCGAAGTCGGAGTACATCTGCCTGAGAGACAAGGAACCACGAGTCTGCATACAAGTAAGCCAGATCTGTGAAACGGATGTGCACGCAACACTCAGGTTCTGGAGCAAGACTAAAGTCCGGAGGTGGGCGAACACCCAGAATTGTAAGCCGGAGTTCACAGCCGTTGGGCTATGGGGATAAATGGAGATCACAGCACATGACTCTGGCGAGTTTCAAGTTAACATCATAGTCGAAATGATCGACTTCGTAGCACCAGGATTTATCCCACATGACTCGA